ATAGAATAGAATAGAATAGAATAGAATAGAATAGAATAGAATAGAATTCTTTATTGGCCAAGTATGATTGGACACACAAGGAATTTGTCTTTGGTGCATCTGCTCTCAGTGAGCATAAAGGAAAAAATACATTCATCAAGAATCCAAGACAGTAATAGTCATAGGTTACTAATAAGCAATGAAATCATAATAGGAAACAAATAAAACAATAAACATTGTAAAGATACAAGCAACACGCTTATAGTCATAAGTGGGAAGAGCTAGGTACTAAGAAGTGTTATTATAATCTAGTAGTAGAGGAATAATAGTAATACAGTCTTAGTAAATAAATTGATTATACACTTTCTTTAATTGGGAGTATTTCCTACTTTTGATTTTTGTGGAATATAATTTGAAATCTCAGTTGATAAATATGTTCTTCTCCATTTCTGTAGAACAATGTATGAATATAACCCATATTACAACCAGGGTTTAAAATTTAAATCACATTAATGTGTGAATAAAATATAATTAATAAGATGCATTACACACACACCTAGTCCTTGACTTACAGCCATTCATTTAGTGACCATTTGAAGTTACAACTACATTGAAAATAATTAACTTACAACTGTTTTTCATGACCATTACAGCATCCTCATGGCCATCTGATCAAAAGTCGGATGCTTGGCAACTGGCATGTATTTATGACAGTTACAGTGATCACTTTTTGCAACCTTCTGACAAGCAAAATTCACTTAACCACTGTGTTACTAATTTAACAATTGCACTGAACTGTGGCAAGAAAGGTATTAAAATAGGGCGAAACTCATTTAACAGCCGTCTTGCTTAGCAATGGAAATTTTGGGCTGTTTGTGATTTTAATTCGTACCACACTTTTTGAAGAGTTGCATAATATTGACCAGTTCTCCACATGTTATTTTCTTGGGAAAGTTATCAAGCCTTTTGATAAAGGAAAACTTGCCTCGATATATGATTTGTCAGGGATTGTAAAAATCAGTGTAACAAAGCAGCTTTCTACCCTACTGCTGCCTGTCAGCCTTAAGGCTGCTTCATGCTTATAAGCCTGACCCTTGGGTGATGTGGAAAAAAGCCAAGCCACGCATTAGTGCACATGCGGTAGATATTAACATGCTTTGACAGAAGGAAAACTTTCATAACGAATTAGAGCTTGATTTGGAGAAGTCCCCAGGGTTGAAATCTGTTTGGAATATCTGAGAAGCTAGTGCTAAAATAATTGAAGCTTAATTTCAGACTGTATTTTTAAATTGCACCAGACCAAGTCTCACTTGTCAAAAATTTTTAAAAGCTCCTGTTAAGATTTTTCTTCAACCCCATGCAAAAGGAAATGTACGTAGTACATATTTGTTTTGGTTAGGTTTGTGGTTTATTAACATAATTACAAAGAAGCAGAGATTGAAGTTTCTTGTTTTATAAATGTTGTGGTTGACAGTTGCCTCCGCAGCTGGTAAATATTCTGTTCTCAATGCATCCTATACACATTGGAGACCCGACTGTGTGAGAATTTATAGGGTAAAAAGAAGGGTGTAAACTCTGTGTGTGTGTGTGTAGGGGAAGATCCCTGATGATCTTCTAAGTAGGACCCAGGCTTATGATTTTCAAGATCAGTGAAAGTTGGCTAAGTCCTATAGCCTTCTGCACTTTAAGATCAATAGTTGAGAATTAAAATTGGCTAGTGCTTTGTTACAATTTATAATAATTGCCTAAATGCTAGCAAATGGTAGGTCAGAATCTATCGATAAGTTTCTGGATGATTTAGAAGTTTCTCATTCCTGTGTGCTTAATAATAATAATAGCTGACTATTAGAATTAAGGAAAACGAGAAATGTTTTTGTTTCAAGAAATTAGGAGTTTGGTTCCTGTGTTTGAAACAGATTGCAGGAAGGATCACATGTTAAAAAGAAGCAGTTTTGCAGGGATAGGTATTGCTGAGTCTGATGTGCCAATCAACCATGAACTTCATACAAAAAACAAAACAGCACTCATAATTTACCACTGAGCTAGATATCTAACTTAAATGATAGTTACATTAATCTCATAATCACCTCCATCAAGATAAATTTTTCATACAGAATTTTACCTTTTTGCTTGTGTGTGTGTGTGTGTGTGTGTGTGTGTGCGCGTCTATACATACACACACACACACACACACACACACACCCATACATACACACATATATATATATATGAACTATATGTACATATATTTATCTTTTACAGGTAATAAGCCTTGATGGAACCATGAGAAAAACACTCATAGAAGATAAACTTCCTCATATATTTGGATTTACTTTACTTGGTGAATATATCTACTGGACAGATTGGCAGAGGCGAAGTATTGAAAGGGTTCACAAGAAGACAGCAAGTCGGGACATTATCATTGATCAGTTGCCGGACTTGATGGGTCTCAAAGCAACAAGTGTCACCAGAGCAGAGGGTAAGTGAGGGCATTGCCCAATGGTTTGGACCATGCTCCACTGCTCATGTTTGCAGTGAAAACAATAACAAGTTTCTTGGAGGAGTTGCTTAATAGGAAGTGTAACCAGTATTAAGATTAACTATAAAAATTGGGATCCTTCTTGCAGAATCACTCTCTGATAGGTAAAGGGGTATGTGAACTTGCATGCCAGTTGTTCTCGGTGGTCACTTTCTTATTTGGTGAAATAACTTTGAACCCATTGGTTGGTGAGTAGGAGAGCGGCCTCCTCTTCAGTTAGTTACGTGCTCCTGTTGAACCTGGGTTGCACCTGAATGTTATTTCACCTGCCAAGAGTATTTCTTGACAGTGATGTGGGGAAAGGAATAACCAATGGACTCAGGGCCTTCTGTGTGAGATTTGGATATTTTTTTGAAGGGGCTCAATTATTGGCATGATCATCCTCTTTCATCTTTGCAGTGTATCCATTCTCTAAGGGACTGGGGAACTCCAAAATAGTTGGAGAAATGTTGTAAGGGGAATGCAGCCACCTGGTTTGTTAAGGTCTTTGAATAGTGCTGATGTATTTCTATTTTGTTTCTTTTTCATGCTACCTAGGTCATTTTATGAGGTAAACATGAATAATTTATCATGTATTCTTACAAATGAGAAATAAGTATGATTATAGGGATGCATCAGTTGGGCTACAAAATATCCTCTACACAATACCTTCTGTTATAAAAGACACACATTATTAGCTATCAATCCCATTAATGTTGTTTTGACCTATGTTTATATCCAGAGAAGCTTTTAGCTTTTAGATATAAAGAGAGCAGCCATTAATATTCTTTATGTCTGCAGATAGAAGGATCACACTGAAAATAACTGTATCTTTTACACATATATTTACACACAGTTTGTGTGTGTGTGTGTGTGTATGAATATATAAACATGAAAGCTTGGCTGCTGATTTATGGGTCTGTGCATCCATTACGTTTCCCTAATTGTGGCTTTAAATATATTTCTATACCTTAATTCATCTCACAGTGTTCTCTAAGATTCACTCAAGCTTTTTAAAATTTCCTCATAGCAACATTTAACCATACTGACTCAGGGAACATTTTCTAGAAATGTTTATTAGCTTCTATTCCCAGACAACAAGCATCTGGGATGAGCTGAAGTTTGTGATATAAGCTACAAGACAAAATTTATTACTCGGACATGGAGAACACTTAGAACTCTACACAGGTTTTAACACCTAAGTGCACAAAGAAATTCATGATATTCCAAAAGTTTACTGTGAAAAGAAGGAATGTTTTATTCTTTCATTAATGTGGAATTTTGCCATAAAAATCAGTTACTTTTAATTGAAATTTTGTGATTATTGTAAATAACCTTTGCTTTGAAACTGCAACAATAACAGCCATTATCATAATGCCAAATTATTAGCTATATAAAGATACATTTTCACTCAATCCCATGAAATCTTTTGAGTTTCACACATTTTTACACTCCAAAGTATGTGTAGAGAGTTACACAAGCAGCTAGCATCTGTTCATCATCCAGATGCTGAATGGTTATTACCACTGCTTGTCATATCTTACTGAGTCATATTTGCTGCTTATTGGAAATCTATATAGATTTAATTTCAGAAATTGGTTTACTACCTTTGTCGTATTTGGAATGACCATGTTCACAAACTGGGGCAATAATTATTACTGCATTTTTCAGGCTATAAGATGCACTCCCCCCCCAAAAAAGTGGGGTGGAAATGTCTGTGTGTCTTATAGAGCGAATGTTGCCGAAACCCTGCCCACCCACCGGCCCCCACCCTTCAGCCTCTGCTTCCCAGCAATTTGCCTCCTTGCAGCAAACAGCCTGGTCAGCTTTAGCATAGCCTGATTTAGCACAAACAGCTGATTGGCAGTTGGATCAGCCTCCCAGAATACTACCCATTTGCTGTTCCAGGCTGCAGGGATCACTGCTGCCCATCGCCGCTGCCTATCACTGCCTCCTTGTGCCCCAATTTTTGGCCTCCATGCACCACGTTTTAAGCCTCCATATGTCCCATTTTCAGCCTCTGCACGTCCCATTTTTGTCCTGTTCCATGCACAGATGCAGCGATAGGCAGCAGCAATCCTTGCAGCCTGGAACAGCTGATTGTCGGTATTCCAGGAGGCTGATCCAACCGCCAGTCAGCTGCTCGTGCTAAATCAGGCTGTGCTGAAGCTGAACAGGCTGTTTGCTGCAAGAAAGCAAATTGCTGTGAGGCAGAGGCAGATTTTTTCCCCCTTGTTTTCCTCCTCTAAAGCTAATGTGTGTCTTATAGTCTGGAGCATCTTATGGTCCGAAAAATACGGTAATTATACTTTTGATGCAAAAAATATGTTGGGCTGTTGGGAAAGTTATAGGAGGGTCTATTTGGTCATCTAGTTAGACTGCAATGAATAGGTCCAGCTAGAAACAGAAATATACTTACTATCTAACGGAAAACTGAAAATGGTTGCATGTGATATATAGTATATCCCCACTGCTTCTTAGTGATGTTGGTTGGGTTTGGATATTGTGTTGACCCTTAACTGATACCAGTAGTTATGGACATATTTTTCCATATTAAAAATGCATATTAATTCAACAAACTGTTAATGTTGTCAATATTGGAGATAAGGAACTGAGACTATAATGCACTGATACTGTAAGGGATATCTGGTGAACTTTTAATTTCATTATAGTGAATTTTCAGCCCAGGACTTCCAAATCTTCTTGAAGATTGACATAAATAATAAATGGAGGAAAGTTTTTAACCCAGTTTCCTTCAGTTAGACAATTCTAGAAGACATGGGGCAGAGTTTATCTTGAGTCGTTTTAAACATAGAAGGGCCTATACTTTTAAGACCTAAAGCCTATCCTAGCCAAGCTTTTCTTTTCCTTCAGAGAACTGTTTTTCTTTTTAGGGACAAATCCATGTGCTGAGAATAATGGCGGCTGCAGCCACCTGTGCTTCTTCACACCCCAGGAGTGCAGGTGTGCCTGTCCAATTGGACTGGAGTTACTTAGTGATATGAGGACCTGCATCATCCCAGAAGCTTTCCTTGTCTTCACCAGCAGGGCAGCTGTTCATAGGATTTCTCTCGGAGCCAGCAACAACGATGTTGCCATTCCTCTTACGGGTGTGAAAGAAGCTTCTGCTCTAGATTTTGATGTATCTGACAACAGAATCTACTGGACAGATATTAGCTTAAAGGTATTCATGGTATCTTAACTGAAAACTTTGCTTTGTTAACCAATCTGTTGTAATGGATTCCTTCCAGAACAATTTTGGTTCTAAATATTTTGTTGTTTAAATCTTAAAAAATAAAATCCTTGAGGGAGTCCTGTCTTCTATAATACTTTGCACTCAGCCATAAATTGTTTAAATTCTTTTGTATTCTCAAATTCCTGTCATTTTTTAAAATGGTTTTGCAGACAATAAGCCGAGCCTTTATGAATGGAAGTGGACTCGAACATGTGATTGAGTTTGGGTTAGATTACCCTGAAGGCATGGCTGTAGATTGGATGGGAAAGAATCTGTATTGGGCAGATACTGGAACCAATAGGATTGAAGTGGCCCGGTTGGATGGGCTATTCCGGCAAGTTCTTGTGTGGAAAGATTTGGACAATCCAAGGTCATTGGCTCTTGATCCATCAAAAGGGTAAGGAAAAAAAATCTCAAACCTAAAATCAAGTGTTTATTATTGCTTATTAGTTTGATTGCAAATGTGTTCCCCAAATTATGCACTTAAAATACAGTCTCAGAGTTTATAAAATTGCAACTTTTCTGTCCTGCTCTGATTTCCATTTCTATTGCGGTGGAGTATGGGGCTGGGGTTCTGCCTTGCACCTGATTTTGAACTTAGGGCCCAATTTTGGTGCAGAAGGGAAGACTTAATCTATTACTGTGGTATGTGTATTCAGCAGCGCAAACATTTTAATTTGATTTTCTCTTAGCCAAAACACCCAAGGTTGTAAATGTAAGGATTGGTTGCAAAGCTGTTTTCTTTACATTGTCATAACTTTGAACAGCCACTAAATAAGATAGTAAGTGAGAACCAGCTGCATAGAAAGGACAAATAACAGCTCCTGTGGGTGAGCTGTTCTTAATGGAGAACATTCATGGTGAGTTATGTAGCCAATGGGGAGATCATGCTTCTGCTTCTCTTGCACGGCTGTAAAGTAGGGGTGGGCAAGTGCACTCTACAATGTGCATATATTCCAAAAAGCAGTTTTTTATATTTGGTCCTTTTTGCATCTTTGAGCTTTGGATTATTTTAAGGGTTGCAGTAGATACAATAAACCTTAGCTTAGAGACACCATTTTCTCACCTTAAATGTCCTAGTATCCAAATGGGTGACTGTCCCCCCAAAGACTCATGCCACTCAGAATCCCTGGGAGACCCATGCCTCCCCCCCAAATAAAATGCCAACATCTGTAAGACATTGTTTTAAAATATAGAAGAATATTTTTTTTCCATTTCTGAGAAATCATAAGGCAACCTGCAAGCCAAACAATTGCTCTGATATAAATTAAATATTGAATCATTCCAATTTTTGTTTCGCTCATTACAGGTATATGTACTGGACAGAGTGGGGAGGAAAGCCCAAAATTGTTCGAGCATACATGGATGGAACAAATAGCATCATGCTGGTGAATAGGGTGGGACGTGCCAACGACCTTACCATTGATTACAAGGATCAAAGACTTTATTGGACTGATCTGGACACAAGCATGATTGAGTCATCCAATATGCTAGGTAATTTGCCAATATCTGGAAAATAGTAGATGTGGTATACAAATAAGTAAAGAAGGCTATGGGTGGTACGTCATGCTGAAGAAAGATCCTGAATTTATTTATTTTGATCTTTAAGACAAAGGAACTTAAACAGATCCACTGATCACATGGGAGCACAGTATAGCAGCCTTTTTGTTTAAGTAGCCTCCAAAACATGGTCTTATGCAAAGTTCTGAATAGAATTTCTCATTCCTTGTAATTTGTTCCAAAACTTTGGAAGAGTCATTTGGAAGCAACAACAAACCAGAGTGTATTACCAAAAATAGTTGAAAAGTTTTATAGTCCCGGTGTCCAAATTATGAATGTGAACAATAAAATGGACCAAAACATCTCTTTGGCATGTTTCCCATCCCTTGCTTCAGAAGAGCTGATTGTATTAGGAGCCTGAGGTCTCTTCCAGTATGAATTAATACTCTGAATCCTCCTATAATTACCAACTTGTGTAGGGAGGGAGAAACAAACACCAAAACAAATAAACATGTACAGATATATTAGTTGGGTCACACGTGGTTACAGATGTAGCATCTATGGTGCTAAGGAGCATCTTAAAATAGTTCGTATCTTCTCTTAGGTTTGTGCAGTTGCTTTTCTGCAGCTGACACGAGATACTGATTGCTTAGTTAAAGATGCTCCTAAAAGGTGCCCAGTGTATGCCCATTTATTGTCCTTCAAATTTGGATTTCTGCACAGACCTAATGCATATGTGGATATATATGTACCATGCACCAGTACATACCTATCACACTATTGTTTTAGACATTATGCCCTTACAGTCAGCAGGGAATGGATATAGCCTGACTGTACTTATATGTCGTGAGCTTGTCTAGCGTTCCTTTTTTTTCTTTTTTTTTCTTTTTTCTTTTACTAAAAAGTATCACGAGAAAGTCTTTCACCAACAGATCATGTTTTCTAGAAGTGGAGATAAGATTTAGTTCAAACATTGGTGACAATAATGGCAGCAATCACATATATCATGCTAATGATCTGTTTGGAAATTTGCTATGCAGGCATAGGAAAATACACGCTTTTAAGGAATTGCATGCCCCAAAGCACGGATAAGAATCAAATCTGAAGCAGTGCACAGCTCTTATTTTTTTATCTTTAATGTACCATCATATACTTTCCTTGATAAAGCTTTGCAGCAGAAAATAGTATTTAACTGAGAGTTTGCTCCTATGATAGGACTTTCTTTAAGTGAACTAAAGGTATTTCCCAAACTGTATCGTTTCGTTTCTGGTTCTTTATAGAATTAAAGCTATTATCAATGATAGCTTTGTTTCTTAGCTGCCATATATATTAAAGTTTGAACTAAATTGTAATTGTTCTTAACTGTTTTTAATGATTGTCAGCCATTCATTAGTCTAAGATGAATAATTATAGAAAATGAATGAATGATCATGAGAACATCCCATATTCCATTTTTTAAAATGGTCTGAGACTATAAATAAAATTAATGAAAGTATTGTCTTTGACCATGGGGTCTCATAATTGTCCAGGGCAATTTTTTTCAATGTACTGTGATAGGCAGTTCTGCTTTAAATGCTTCTTTCAAAAATGGGAAAGGAATAGCAAATGGCAGAGATAGATTATAATAAATTAATTATGGATAATTAAACATTCCTAGTAAAATTTTGAGTTAATTTGCCCAACCTTTAATCTTTTGGCTACCATGGTTTGAATCTCTGTGTTGAATAACAGCATATGGGTTGTTTCTTTCAGGACAAGAGAGGCAAATAATAGCAGATGATCTACCTCACCCCTTTGGGCTAACTCAGTACAGTGATTTCATCTACTGGACAGATTGGAACCTCCACAGTATAGAAAGAGCTGACAAAACAAATGGGAGGAATCGAACAATTATTCAGAATCGTCTGGACTTTGTGATGGATATATTAGTTTTCCATTCATCACGACAGGATGGTTTCAACGAGTGTGCGCAAAATAATGGGCACTGTGGGCAGTTGTGCCTGGCCATACCCAATGGCTATAGATGTGGCTGTGCATCTCACTACACCCTGGATCCCAAGACCCGCAACTGCAGTTGTATGTATTTTTTTGCAACTCTCTAAATATTTTCAGTTCTCCACCAATCCCAACTTGGTATTCTCTGAATAGGTTAGATTACAATTCTCATCATGGACGTGCTGGTTGTAGTCAACATTTCCAGGAAGATAACATTTTTGCATCTGTAGCCTATCTGTGTGGGAAGGACAGACAGCTGGAACAGACTAGGAGTGATTCACAGCTATTCTTGCCAGAAGTCAAGTAGCAGCTAAAGAACATAGTGTTCTTGGGAGTGTGCACTCGCTCTTCTTCTGTTAGGTTTTAGGCCCTCCTCCATCAAAATAGAGTTCTGGTTCCAGTAAGCCCAGGGTAGAATGGGAGGAATGTAAAGGATTCTGCAACAGAACTTTAAAGATGAGAGGTTTCACAAAGGAACCGCATAGTTCCTGTTCCAGGGCATCTTGCCAGCCCATTTGTTTCTGATACCTGAAACCTGGTGAGTGGGTTTTTTTCATCCTGCAACCCTCCAGATGAAAAGAAAGGGCTAATTCTTTTCTCCTGGCATTGAAGCAATTTTGTCATGTTGCTGAGTCCAGGGTTGAGCCTAGTGGGTGGCAATGAAAAGGAGTAAAAATGAGTAGTGTTAAAAACGAAACTTGAATTTTTTTTTTACTAAATCCACATGTCCTAGCACACTAGTTACTTATGGCTGTAAATATATAGATGTCTGCATCTCTCCCGATAAATGCCTTAATTTTCATTTATACAAAAATCATTATCTTGTTTTCTACCAGAAGAGAAATTCAGATATCGGTTAACAAACAACACAAAAACTAAAATTAACAATAAATCTATTATTAAAGCAACTGGATAAAGCTCAGCACAATTCTGGATTCAAAACAGTATTGGAAAATAAGCATAAAGAGCAATTGCCAACATTTGTCCATTTCAGAGTTTTCCAAAAACCTGCCTTTGTGATTTAAAGTAACACCAGCTTTGCTTCGGGAAGGAGGAAGGGAGAGGGAAAATGCGGTTAAAAATATTAAATGAAAGGAATTCTAAATTCATTTTTAAAGGATCTAAATCAGAGGTGGGCAACTATGGCCCCTTTATGACTTGTGGACTTCAACTCCCAAAATTCCTGAGCTAGCATGGCTTGCTCACGAATTCTGGGAGCTGAAGTCCATAATTCATAAAAGGGCCATAGTTGCCCACCCCTGATCTAAATTGATAGAAAGAAATGATTTTAAAAGTGGTGTTGATACAACTAATAATGGTAGGATTCAGTATTGCTTGGGATAGTGCTTGTCAGTAAGAGAAGTATTATTTAATGTTATTATTCAACAGTGAAAATAAGCTGAGCGTTTTGCAGAAAACATCAGCAGCATTTACTTCCTATGTAGTTGGCTCGAATGGCAAGTTGACATTTGCTGAGCCCTTTCTTTTAACGGAACGCAGTGCTGAGCCCAGCATTCCTTGGGTGGACTGCTGCTTCTTGCTGTCATTCTTTATGCATCTGTCCCTTCTATGCAAGTAAGCATTGAGAGAGGTGGGAGCCTCTCTTATAATTTGGGAATAGCTGGATTCACCGACATGCATATGGCAGCAGCAATGAAGAACGTAAGACATAGAATAACAAAGTTGGAAGGGACCTTGGAGGTCTTCTAGTCCAATCCCCTGCGTGAGCAGGAAACTGTATACCATTCTAGAGTGATGGTTGTCCAATTTCTTCTTGAAAACCTCCAATGAGGGAGTATCCACCGTTTCTGGAGGCAGGACATTCTACTGATAAATTGTTTTCACTGTTAGGAAATTTCTCCTTAGTTCTAGTTTGGATCTTCCTTTAATGATTCAGATTCAACAAATGCGGTTGGTAGAAGTTCAGATTAGTAGAACATCCTACCCAAGAGGGCCTCTAAAAAAACCTGGATCTGGCATTGCATAAATCAAAAGAAGATCCCAGGGAAAGTGAGGCAGACCAGTCTTCTAAATTAAACTTGCATGGGTTAGGCTTCCATGCATCCCTTCCTGGACTGGACTGAAGATCATAGATATCATTTTATCCCAAGTCTGGTCATGTGAAATGTATCGGACTTTTTGGCAAATAATTCTGCTGTGTTCTTTGAAAATGGGATTGAAATCATGTCCCTCTGTGATCAATAACAGTAATAGCAAAAATATAGACATGGAAGGATTATACTTTGATATTTTTGCAAATGTGTATTTACTTTCCAAAAGAATTTTACCAATATTGTTACTTGGATTGTGTTCTCTACCTTTAGCACCCAGTAGCTTCTTACTATTCAGTCAGAGGTCTGCAATAAGTCGGATGATACCAGATGATCAGCAGAGTCCAGACCTCATTCTTCCCATCCACGGCCTAAGAAATGTTAAAGCCATTGATTATGATCCACTTGATGCATTTATCTACTGGGTAGATGGACGCCAAAACATAATTAAAAGAGCAAAAGATGATGGCAGTCAGGCAAGTATTTTTATCTTGTAAACGTGCCTAAACTGGTAACAGTATGCTGGATGCTGGATGGTTTCTGCAACCTGGTCCTGCAGTGTCCTCCCAAAAGAAGACTGACTTTACAGGATTTAAACTGAAAAGAAGCCAAAAAAAACCCCCAAAAAACACCTTGCTATCTTAGGGGGGGTTGAGAAGTAAACACTTAAATGTTTTTCCTCTTCTACCCTAAAAGTTTTCTTGCTGTAATTAGAAGGCTGCTAATTCCAAACTAGGACATTTCTGAAGAAGTAAAAAGGAAAAAAAGGACCCTCTTCAATCAAAGCACCTTCTATTTATACTGTCATATTTTAGGCTGTTGCTGTTGGAGCCCCTTTATTATTTCTTTCTTGGCAAGCTGCAGTAAAGTTCTTTTTCTATGGAAAATACTTGAATTTTCAATGTGCAATTTCTTTCTTATACATCCAAGAATGCATTTTCACTAGTTTATGTTCTGTGAAAATGAGAAGGTAGGGAGGAAATAGGAAAGGACCAACTGGGCTAATCTGATAAATTTTTATGTAGTATTTTCTACAAGAGAATGAAATCTTGTTTGTTCCAAAGAGGGGCCCTCTAGTGTCAGGCCTGCTCTTTGAAGAATATTTGCTAGGTGTTAATTGCTGAATTGTTTCCCATTAGTACTCTTCTTAGGTGCAAATTACGATGGTGACTTATTGTTGCAATGCAGTCTGTTGTTCTGTAGAAGCAAAAGAGTTTCACTGTTTGAAGAATATCTCCTTGCTACATTTTTAGTATCCAGACTTGCAGATTTGTAGTGATATTGATGATTGGGGTACTTCATATTCAGTCTTTGTTAATTAGTGGTTTTGAATATTAATAATCAGATACTTCTCAGTTGTTGTTTTTCCTGAAATCATGTAGAAAAAAGCAAGCTTGTGGCTTGGTAACTGCATGAACTTCTAGCTTTCTTTACAGTAATACATAAATAGCTAAGTACCATAAAAAAGGTAAAAGGAGAAAAGAGAAAAAATGGTAAAAAAGAAAAGAATGTGTAGGGGAATTACTTTCCCCTTCATAAAGACAAGTACAAACAATTTTAACAACTTACCAGGAACAACAATACATATATTGTAACATTGATCAAATAAGCCAACTTTATATTCCTTTGCTTTGCTTTTAAGACTCTTGACCTGTAATCCATTTAAATAGTGCCCAAAATATTTTTTTTATTTCCCCTTTGTTCTCAGAAACTTCTTTAATAAGTTTAAAATGTTATTTTTTTGTAAATCCAAGATAAGGCAGTTATCCAAATCATTCTTCTGATTTGTTATCAGTATGTCCCTTTTGATTATTATTATTTAATTATTAAGATATCAGCTGGTTTCATATGTAAACATTTGTATTACATATTTTCCATATCAGTCTTGTGACATGTCATTTTTAATTCTACATTCAAATACACATTCAAAATAGCTGTCAGTTCTTTTCTATCACCTCCTTTAAATCCATTTTAAAAGTAGTTTAAAGTAGTTTTAGTATTTTTAAAGTTAAAAGTACAGGAAGTTTTAAAAATAAATTGTGAATGTATTAGCTCTTGCCTTAAATGTTTCAGTTCTTTCTTTTAACAATTTGATTGTTTCATTCCCTCAGTAGGTAGGAATTTTTAATACATATGCACACAAAAACAGCTACTTATTTTAGAAAGTGGAGGATTTGTTGTTCAGAAGGAATAATTCATCTCAAAGTCTGGTAAAATATTGAGCGGAGAAAAAACAAGCTATGATTTTTTGTCTATGTCTTTGTGAATTATTGTCTTTACTGAATTGGTTAACCGAAGTTGCAATCCAGTAACTGCTTACTTAGGGTTAAAAGTAATTGAGCTCAGTGGTATTGTTACATGGAATTGCATAAAATCACATTCTTAGATTTTTTTTTTCTCTAGAATTTTAATTATTATTTGGTTTTAAACAAAGTTTTCATATACTGTGACATCAAATAATCTTATCTAATTTGTTCTTGTTTTTCTTTTCCTTGTAGCCTTTCACAGTCATGAATATTCGCAATCAAAGCCAAAATCCAGAAAAACAGCCACATGACCTGAGCATTGATATTTTCAGCCATACTTTGTATTGGACCTGTGAAGCTACAAATACAATCAATGTCCACAGAATTAATGGGGAGCAGATTGGAGTTGTCTTACGGGGAGATCATGACAAGCCCAGGGCCATAGTCGTAAATGCAGAACGAGGGTAAGAATACTCTCAAGTTCTAAGAAATCGTATTGCATTGAATGTTGCAAAGTGTTCCATGGAGGTTGCCCATGCTACATTATAGGATATAAACATTTATTTTGCTTGTTATCTTCTTGGGATACTTCAAACCAATTTCATAGGGCTGCCTGACAGTTTCTTATTGCTAGACCACCAAGACTGTTCTAACCTCCTTTAACTTAATAAACCAAAAGCTACCTAACAGTTCTCTGGGATTAATTAAGCTCTTGTCTCTGGAAATAATGCACTTATTTTTATTGTGGAAACTTTAGAATGTATAATAGGGAAAAATCTTGATAACATATCCATCCACAGAAAGGATTTTTTAAATCTTGAGTTCCTGGAGAAATCATAAAACTAAATAAATATAGATAAATCAGGACAGCAATTTCATCTCTCCCCACACATCTGCCTCAGAGGGTGGTCCTAACCTTCCAGAGCAGTTGTTGTGAGGATATTGGGGCTATGATGGGAAGGGGAGGGATGAGATCTCATGCGTACAGGCTTCTAGTCCCAATCCTTTTGGCTTTATTTCACCAACTGTACCATGTCCTTCGGGGGAGTTTGGCTTGGGAGCGCGTGGATGGTATATTTCAAATATCCCTTTTCTAGCTATAAATTTATTTACAAGCAAGAAAGATTTCATAAAATTTCCTGGAATCTCCCTTCAAAACAAGATCGTAGTTAATCTGCTCTAGAAGCTGAGAAAGGAAGTTCAACCTCAGAAAATAACTTCAGAAAATGGCAGAGAATATAATTATATACATGATGTTTGTCTGCCAGATATTAAGAAGTCAGTTGTTCTTATATGTTGTCAGGTACATGTATTTCACTAATATACAAGAGCGAGCTCCAAAGATTGAGCGTGCAGCCTTGGATGGAACAGAACGAGAAGTGCTCTTCACCACTGGTTTGCTTAGACCTGTTGCACTAGTGATTGACAATAAGCTTGGGAAGCTCTTTTGGGTGGATGCTGATCTCAAACGGATTGAAAGTTGTGACCTGTCAGGTGTGTTGCACTCTCTTTTTTGCCTAAATGTCATCAGTGTCCCTTGTTACCCATGCCAAACATTGGGCCTTTTGGTGAATTGCACAAGCTAGTAACCAGTTCAGTGTTCTAGAATGACTCTGTAACTGAATGCTGAATGGATTTTTCTCTAAAATAGAGTTTCTGGGGGTAGACCTATTCTCCTGACTTATTTTCTTTGTAACTTTCCAGCTTTTACTCTTCTTCTTGGTTATAATTAGTTCATTACATTTTTAACTCTCTGCTTCAAGTATCATTACAGAATATGAATGTTAGATAGTGATAATTACAATCTTTTCTGATTCCAGAATAAATACTGTTATCATCATCATACTCCTACTTTATATCCAAAACAGGATGTGTCTGTCTCTCTGTGTCTCCTCCCCCGCCCCCGTTTTGGATATAAAGTGTGTGTGTGTGTGTGTATGTGTATGTGTATGTGTGTGTATTGGACACTTCCTTTTGAAATTGCCTCTGATTGCAATGTTTTAATTGTTTTATTCTGTGTAGTACCCAGAATCCTGGTGGAGGCAGCCAGTCTATAAATTAGATCAAGGGTCTTCAAACTTGGCAAGTTTAAGACTTGTGGACTTCAACTCCCAGAATTCCTGAGGTAACATGACTGGAGGAGGAATTCTGGGAGTTGAAGTCCACAAGTCTTAAAGCTGTCAAGTTTGAAGACCCCTGAATTAGATAAACACACACACACACACACACACAATATTATACATTAATAGGGCCAGAAAGACTTTAGAAGCCAAGAATATGAATCTATGCTCAGAAAAGGAAGGTTTAATTTATTAATATAATAAAAATTTGGAGTATAGTTGTACTAGAAACAGATGAACACATTTGTATTTTTATGTCAATATAGATTTTAATAATTCTGCCAAAAGGATTTTTTTAAAACAGAAAAAAGCAAGGATAAAAAGAAAACAAAACCAGACCCCTCACATGTAAGGCCCTTTTGGTATAATGAAAAGAAGAAAGATAACTAGGATAAAAGAGAATATTAGCATTATTAAGTAGGCAATATGCATCACATATTATGACTCTTCAGAGTGCTACATTTTGTTTGTTCATTAATTAACATTACAATTCTTGTGCTGCACATAGATTGTCCATTACTGTTTCTGTGTGGAATACAAAATTGGTTATACTTTTAAAGTAGTAGGTTATGTCCTATTTTTCCAGGGCACTTTTAATAACTGACAGTAGTGTAGTTAATATTTATATCCCATCTTCCCTTTAAGATTTCGGGGTATTGTACAAAGCAGTTTCTCCTTCATTCCTGCCCCCCAACCCCTCCCCCAGCTAATTTATCATTTGAAGCAGATTGAGAAAAAGTTTCTGGCTGAAAGTCATCCGGTGAAAGTAGTGGTTGAATAGAACTCTTCTGGTTTAGCAGTTGCCTCACCTTGGCTCTTTTGCTTTCTTTGCTTACTTACCTTCTACTGCAATTTAATATGAAGAAGTGGATCATATAAAAGGACAAAAGATTTGGTCTGAAAGTCCCCTCCCCTCTTTCTCAGATTAGAATACTTCATCTCTTCTTCAAATCATGTGAAGGGAGTTGGAGAACAAATGCCCATTTGCTGTGGATTGGTCCTTAATGACAGCAATCTTCTGTCATGAAATGCAAACTTTTTTTTCTGATATGAGGAAAAAGAACATTGTTGATGTTGTTTTACCTTGAGTTAGTTGTAAACTTCCTCTGTCTCCCCAAGGAAAACTAACTACTATGGAGGAGGTCTGTTTTCAGTTTATCCCTGAACAGATCGATAAAAACTGTCAGATTAATTTTAGCTACCACCAATATAAACTCCATCAGGAGTGGGTGGGCTGTGAGGATTTTTAACATATGAGAAAAATAGGACTTGATATCAAACATTGTTTTATTTTTAAGAAAAAAAAATTGATTATTAAGAAAAAAAGTTGCTCATAAAATATTTCTCTTATGAGACATTAAATATAATTTCACCTGAAAATCACTTCTACAGAAGAAACTACATAACTTAAATATATTCTTCTCTTTCTGGATTTGACGAAACTGGTTGTACTTATTTTCTCATTGGTCTTCTAATGAGGTATTGTAATCTGTTTTGATATTCAGTTTACTCATGTAAGGGCTGTTGAGTATGGAACATTTATAAAATTCAAGATGCTAATTTTTGCCAAGCAACCATCTAGAGCTATAGTAATTTTTAAAAATCATTTAAAAATACTTTTTTTAAAAAACTTTCCTTTAAAAAAAGAAAGAAAAGAAAAATCGGTATTGACAAAAGTTATATTATACTCTCAGGGGCTAACCGGGTCACATTACAAGATTCCAACATTCTCCAGCCAATGGGTTTGACGGTTCTGGGAAATCATCTCTACTGGATTGATCGGCAGCAACAGATGATAGAAAGAGTGGAGAAAACCAATGGATACAAGAGGACCAGAATACAAGGTCGAATTGCTCACCTAACTGGTATACATGCCATTGAAGATATTGACATGGAGGAATTCTGTAAGTTTACTATAATATTAAAATCTTAATTTTCTCCAGCATTATGTTATATTACCCTTTTTTATTCTCAGCTTGCTGCTCAGATTCATGAGTCAGTTCTAACAGGAATTTAAAACTCTGAAGGACAATTTTTATTTGAGTCTACTCTAACAAAAAGTTTGGCATTGAATACGCTTGAGGTCTAGGATCAAGTGGACATTTGAACTTTGAAAAGCTTAATCCAAATTCAGATCCTTATCATTAGACTACATGGACTTCATGGACCTTGCAATAAAAGAAACCCATATTCACCCTGTGAATCTAACAATATATTTCATCTAGCTGAGGCATTCTGATTCACTGTTTTTCAAAAGTGAATAGAAATCAAGAAATAGCCCTGTCCATTGGAAAAAACAAATAGACCTCATCAGTGGTGGCTGTAGCCAGTTTAACAACCAGTTCTGTGATATGGGAGATTCTGTGATATGGGAGATTATATCTTCTGGTTTCATTGGACAGTCTTGTTTTTTGTTTACTTTTGGTATTAGGTAGTCACTTTTCATGATATGTGGGCTACTGTTTCTGAAAGAAATTGGCTGTTATATGGTAAAATTGATTTCTCATTCCTTCCTTCCTTGTATATTGCCCACAATCATTATGTTACAACAAAGTCCTAGGAGTCAGAACATACAATAAGAAAGTTAATCCTTTGTCTTTTAATGGTTAAGCAGGTACCTTTTTATAGGAGGCTGTGCACATTTTCCCAGAAATTAAAAAAAAAAGGCTGTTGAGGATACCCACAAAAAATTTGAAAGGGAAGGGATATGTGTTGAAAAATGCCAACCTTTTCTTGTGTATTACAAGGCAGTGATTGTTCAAATGCCACGATGAGTTTTTATAGTAAACTCTGATGGTTTTCTAAGTTTTTCATCAGAATGAACAACTAGGCAAAAATTGTTACATTTTTCCTTATAAAATTTCGCATCCTTGCTACAAGAATGCACCTTTTTTGGGGGTCTCAAGTAATATTGAGCCGAGTACTAGAAAGGTTACTAGTTCAGCTTGTATACTGTGCAGCTTGAATTTTATGCATAGTTATGTAGAAGTCATACAGTCTTCAGAGAACATAGAAAAGGAATTCATCTTTTCCATTGTTGATTAAACTCATTCTTCATCAAAGAAGGCAGGTAGCCTATATGTCAATTAAATTATTTAATATTAATTAAATAAATTTAAATAGGTCTCAAAGAGCTACTCTTTCATGCATATGGGAAACATTTACTTATTGCCATTTGTAAATTGTATAGACTATATTATATTCAGGGAGAAAACAGTATCCCTCCCCATTCCCCATGTCTAAATGTCACAATTCAAAAGGAAAAGGAGGACAGAGGAAAGAAATAGTTTTTAAAGTTAATACTAATTACCGGTTTGAATGGAAACAGGTAGTTTAGAGAAGGGAGGGTGTAAAGCTAATTTTAAGCGAATGCCTCATCTAAGCTACAACCTTTCTCTCCACAGTTGTTAAGTGAATCACTGCAGTTGATTAGTTAGTAACCAGTTGTTAAGTGAATCTGGTTTCCCCATTGACTTTGCTTGTCAGAAGGTTGCAAAAGGAGATCACCTGACTTTGGGACAAGCAACGGTCATAAATATGAATCAGTTGCCAAGTGTCTGAATTTTGACCACATGATTATGGGGATGCTGCAAAGGTGGCAACTGTGAAAAACAGTCCTAAGTCACTTTTTTCAGTGCTATTGCAACTTTGAATGGTCATTAAATGAACTGCTGTAAGTCGAGCACTACCTGTACTTAAGTAGTAATAGATTTAGGAATTTTTCCTCTATTCTATAAACAACTGCTGTCCTCCTTTTCTTCTGCATGAAGCAAGCCACCCATGTTCCCGAGATAATGGGAAGTGTTCACACCTCTGCATAGCAAAAGGAGATGGAACTCCAAGGTGTTCCTGCCCTGTTCATTTGGTACTTCTACAGGACCTCTTAACGTGTGGAGGTAAGTAGTCTTAAGCAATAGCTTTCCATTCAGGAAGATTGGCAAACATTTTAAGCTTCGCAAGACAGATGTATTTGTACTTCATGGTTCTAGAACAGTTTTCTTCAGCTACTGCTCCCTAGAGGCAGCAGACAATGTGAGAATTATTTGAGTTAAACTCAGAGAGATCTGCAGGACCCTGTTTTGTGGGAAACCTTCACATTGCTTCACCGGTTCATGAACTCAATCCCTTGCCCTTGGCAGGCAGTATTTGCACCCAAATGAGATTTTGAGAGCAACTTAAATTCAGCAGGTAAATTTGACTACCATTTTTACATACATGGTACATACATTTTAGTATGTACATTTTACTTTCTGTAACTGTGACAGTATAGTAACAACACCTGTATAATATTTGTACTGTAGTGGGGAGGGAGTTTTATAAAAATCATAGTGAATCTAATGTACACTAACTAAAGCACAAGACTGCAGTGCATTTTACTGGTTTCACAACTATGTTAGTTGTTACCACCAAAAACTATGTTGTGATTCTTTATTCATTATCACAAGGAAATGCTGTAAGAAAATGTCACTGTAGTGATGTCTAATTCAAAACTGTTTCTTAGGCTCTGTATTTCTATGAAATAGAATAGAAAGTCAATGGAAAAAGATAACAGCAAGGGGCATTTTTATTTGTTTCCCCTTAGAACAAGTACAATCTAAAACTATTCCATCCAAAACAGACTGCATCCGGACCTCATATTAGATTGTCTGCTGGGGATTAGAACCTCTATTTTGTCTGGACTAAACCCCAGTTTTTTACTCCATATTGAGGAACTGCTCAAAATCACTCCATGAGTTGTCAACTAGACATGACTATGAGTTAGTTTTATTAACCAAGTGATCAAATTCAAACCATGAACCCTTGAGTGATCTCATCAATACATCATGTAGATGTTTGGAAACAGAGTTTCAAACTGAGAGATTCTCTGTGCAGTAGTTCCTTTGAACTTCTTCAAAGTGATGCAACTAGTCAAACACTCCAGGAAATGCTGTGATTGGAGTACTAAATACCATTGAGAGCAGCCCTGTTTGTAAATGACATCTACTCAGTGTTTCTTTTCCCGTTCTCCTTCCTTTCTCACTTTCCTTTGAGGATTTAAATAAAGTAATCTACACAAGGCTATCCTTGTAATTTCTCAGTTTCATTCAAAACTGGGGATAATAAAATCATAGCAAAGAAGACTTTATAAAAGTATGCATTGCCCCAATCATCATTTAAAACATGCATAATATGCACAAAAAGATCCACATAAAGACATTCTCCAAATTTGGGGATATATGAACTGCTTTACTGAAGATAATGTGATCTAGTCTGTATTTCCTAACTGTCAATAAAGGAATCACAAGTAAATAAGAGAACTTGCTTGTAAGCCTCCCAGAGGCTTCTAGACAAGATGGGTGTCACATAAATCCAATACAAATATACACATACATACATACATACATACATACATACATACCTGTCTTTGAATTGTATTTAATGATTTAACTGTGAAGTATAAATTGCATGGAAACATTTTCTACTAATAACAGGCCACTCTTGGATACATTGTGTTTTAATTAACTTGTTCTGTCTTCTAAAGTTGTAGACAGCTTCTAAAAAAACAAGAAGATTGACTTTAGAAACTGATCGCATCCATATGATGAAGGCCTTAATAGTTTATCATTTCCTTACAAAAGCTAATTCCATATAACATTAAGCTATAAGTCTCTGCTTGGAGTTTAGTTCTGAATTTATATTTAACATTCCAAAAGTGTGGCTTCCATATATTTTACAAAAATCCTGAAAATGGTTACTTTGGGTGGATAAATAAAAGGCAGTAGGAAATAGCATAATTGTGCTGTTATAATTACATATAAATGGCATTAAGTAGAATAGATATCTTGAAACTCAGCATTAAGAACTATGGTGCTATGTTTTTAGCTAAGAGTTTCCCTTATTTCAGTGTATATATACTGTTCAAATTTGTCCATTTTATTTCAATATATCTTTTCTTTTATGGAACAAAACATTTTTCAAAATATTTATAGCTATATTTTCTGTGAAAATAAACATCCCTTCTCATCAGGAAGGCTTTTTTCTCCCATCTTTGCAGCTTAAAGCTTCCCTTCTCAAGTTTATTTTGAAAATACTTCTTTCTCTTAAATGACACATTTGCTGTACTATGAGCTCTCCAGGGATCTCTTATAAATAGTTGCGGTCTCGCAACCACAACATGTTCTGTGGTATTGGAGTTTTACATCTATTCTATGGAGAAAGAAGGTCAGTTTACTGGCTCGTGTTTCTCCGTTTGTGAGAGATTCCTCATGACAAATGCACTCTTCTTATTGTATGCTGAATCTCACATTTACATACCATTCCTAATACAGTAATTTTATCTTTATCCTTGTCTTTTCTCCTAGCATCCTAGTTTGTAATCTTCAGTATCTCGAATTTGTCAGCCATCACTAATATACTTATATAGTCTTTCTGCAGTCACTCTATTCAGGTCCAAAATATTGAATCTGATACTTTATAGTGGACAAATTGTACCTATAAAGACGCAAAAAAATGTGTAGTGGGGAATCCATTGTGGATTTTTCAAAAAGAATAATGATCCATGTGACTCACTGCATTCAATAAACCAGTTAATCCTTGTGTACAAGTTTAATTCTTTGGGGGAGGGGGGAAATACATTGTCTCAGATCTGCTTTACCTATTGTGGATTTTCAACTCAACCCTTAAAAATCGAGGGATCTAAGAAGGCCTTATAAAAGATCAAACAATGTCCTGGATTTAGGCATGCAGAAGTACAAGCGCAGAAATTTTTACCATTGTGAGACCTTTTTTCAAGAGGTGTAGAAGGGAAATAGAGTAAACTCTTTCAAGATCTCTGTGTGGAGAATATAGTTCAAAGCAGCATCACATGTTTCACTCAGTTGTCCATTGTAGCATTCAAGGTACTCTGAATTAATATCACCCCTCTTTGAAAGTGATTAAATTAAATCCTTCTAGATGTCATATAGAAAAAAATTTTTTTTTACTTATTAGCTGATAAATCCTCAGAAAAAAGGTGCAAAATGATGTTCTGTGATGATTGTTTTAAGGAAACTTTGTGTATATATAAGATCTTCTTACTCATATTAGAAATCAATTAACTAGACAGATTAATTGCAGCTGAAATTACAAATAATTTCAGTTAATTGTAATTTATTTCATAAGAACTTTGATCTATCAAAAAAACATTTGATTATTGTTATCAATTGACTTTTTTCACATTTTTTGTAAGTAGCTGTCAACATGCATTTTAACTTGAAATGGCAAGCTTCTTCATGAAAGGCAGATTTCAATATAGGGACATGAAGGAAAAGCTAGTTTACTTTTTAATTATGTAAATACAGTTCTTAGTTTGCATTTCATTTATTGCAGTTATCGATTTATAGTGTTTATATTAATTACTTAATTGTAATTTAGACTGGATGTATGGTACATATGACACTTATTTTTTAAGCATTGAATTTGCTTCTTTTGGAACTAGTTTTCTAGACTAAATCGCAGAATGAAATTTGTTGTCTCTTTGAGACTGACAACATTTCCAAACATAGCCTCCAAATAATAGATTACAGATTTTCAATACATTCAGGGGGTTCTGCATATTTTATGTCTTACTGTAAAAGTGGGGGAGTTGCCTTGACTGGGCAGAGTGATTGTTCAGACTAATTGAAATAAATATCTAGTATAAGGGCCTTGCAAAGATAAAACAGTGCTTTCTTTGTTGTAAATTATGTAATATTTTGAAGAGTTTCATGTAGTTCTTTAAAAACTTCTTTCAGAGCCACCAACCTGTTCCCCGGATCAGTTTACATGTGCAACTGGTGAGATTGATTGCATTCCCATGGCATGGCGTTGTGATGGCTTTTCAGAATGTGATGATCAGAGTGATGAAGAAAACTGCCCCATCTGCTCAACAACCCAGTTCCAATGTGAGAAGGGGCAATGCATCGATGCACATTTGAGATGTAATGGAGAAGTTGACTGCCAAGATAAATCTGATGAATCTTATTGTGAAAGTAAGAGCTGTATACTTTATCTTATGTTAGACACATACACATTGTTAGATTCAGCAACGAGGGAAGCAAATGGAACTATGCTTATACATATACGACTATAGATCTCAGCCTGGTCAAACAGGAGAGGTGATAGAAGGACTGACCCAGTGCCTGGAAGCTGTCAACACCTGTATGAGAAGGGACAATCTTAAAATGACCCCCTCCAAGACAGATTAGCTTTGAATTTCAAGGTCAAATGATGTTCACTATGAATGGAGTTGCACTCCCCTATTCAGAGATGGTTTGCAACTTGGAGGCTGGTAGGTGTGACCAAGAAAGCTTTTGTTTAATTGTATCTCATGCTCCCTCCAGTTGCAGTCTTTATTGTGGGGCCCTGCTTACAGCCACTTTACATAGGGCTGTCTTTGGAAAGCATTTGGAAGCTATAAAGGATACAAAATGCAGAATCCTAGGCAGCGATGGGTACATCCCAATATTCTTGGATGGCTCGATTGTTTTAGGACTTGTGTTGGTTGTTGGTTGGCATCTGGATGCAATTCCAAGATTCTGGTTCTCATTTTCAAGGCCCTACATGATTCAAGACCAGATTATCTGAGGGCCTGTCTTTTCCCACATTGATCTGCTGTCCATTAAGATCAAATAAGGGTTGGTCCTCCAGATCCTGTCCTGTCTTGGAATGCTACTGGATCAGACCTCAGTAGCCACCATTTTATATCAAATCTTCCAGACTTTGGCATGCCTTCCCTATGGAGATATTCTCTTTCACTCCTGATTTTCAGGAGAGCAATAATGACTCTTTTCTTTCCCCCACAAGTGCACGGAGAGAATTTGAATTGTCTTGTACATTTTCTTCAATATATAATTTTGATCATTTGCTTTATGGTGAATGGTTCATAAATCAAATGGGTTTTTGATGCTGTTGTTAAGGATGTTTCTTAACTCAGTTTGGAGTTATTATTAGCCACCCAGAGCCTTCCAGAAAAAGCAGCATATAAATAAAGCAAATGTAGCAAATTAATTAATCAAAAGTAACTGCCTATAGCAATAATTCATTATTGAGTTTTATTTTTATTCTTGGTAAATAAAACACCCATTCCAAAAGTAGAATAAAACATTCTGCTTATGCACTTTCACTTGGTGCCAGGCCATCGTTGTCACATTCCTCATAACCTACTATTCTTTCTCCCCTGCCCCATCATTTTTAAAATTGTGTCCAAATTGGGTTGTTCATCCCTGTTTTAAAGGGATTAGAGTAAACTCTACATTGACACTATGGTAATTCATCCTCCCATATCTTTGGTGCTTAACGGAAGACTGAGAGTGGTTTGCATTTATGTTTTCTGCCAGATGCTTGATTTCAAGAGGACCAAGTTTAATGTTTATTTGTGGTTCTTGGAAGCTTATAAAACAACTGCTGTCTTGAAGAAAGTGATGTGTTTATTATTTAGTTTAGGTTTGGTTGAATTATTTTGGCAGTATTAAAAATTGCTTGGTGCTTGTCTCCCATCTCATCCACCCCCTCACAGCTATTTGTCTCCAGAATCACTTTCAGTGTGCCAATGGCCAGTGTATTCTCAAAAAACAGCAGTGTGACTCCTTTCCGGACTGCATTGATGGTTCTGATGAACTTTTCTGTGACAAGTCACTTTTTACCGGTAAGTTGGTATTATAAAAGGCCTCCTCTTGTTAATTATCTTTACACAATTTGTCTTGGGCGAACATTCCCAGAATTCCCAGCCAACTTACCCAACAACTAGGAAATTCTGAAGCTTTTCAGCCCAATACAACTGGAAGCTATCACGTTCATAAAGGCAAGTTTGGATCCAAGGATCACTGTTTATTCTCTGAGTCTAGAAAAGCAAATATAATTATTTACTATTGCCAACGCTTAATACTTCTGTCCTTGAAATGCAGTACTCTTCAATGTTCTTTGCAGTTTTCAGAAAGCTGTCATTTTTCTTTCTTCAGATGTAGCCAAATCCACATCCTGTGAAAAAAACAACTGTGTAAAATAAAGCTATTATCAAAAGGTCAAAGCAGATGCAATTCCATCTTGTCCCCCTGGGCCTTCAGTGGCTGTTCAGATTGGCTTTAATCCCTGCATCATTTATGCTAACCATAAATGCCATTTTCTGACTGAAGATGATTTGATAATAATTCTGTATTTTCAGCCCTAGGACCTCTGAATGTGTTGGGGTTGAGGGGAAAAATAGCAGCCCTCTGATGACCTGCAGAATGTTGCAAAAGAAATTGAATTAGCTATTTTCCATTAGAGTGATTGCCATTGATAAATATGTTGCAATAGAGATCATTTTATACAGAAAAGAGCCACAAGGGTCCTTGTAATAAAGTGCTACAGATTGCAAACTAGTCTAGCCTTCCCCAATTTGGTGCCTTCTAGATGCACTGGATTACAAGTCCAATCATCCTATAGTCAAGAAAAAAGACCGAAAATAATTTGGACTATGTATTCCTTAGGTCAATTTAATATGGGAAAACCACAAGTTACCATGAGCCAGCTACCATCAAATCTGTCTAATGGAATTTGCATGGGAATAAAATGAAGTAAACACTGAACAGTCTTTTGAACACTGAAAAGGACTATTGAAGTTATTAAGAGAACATGCATGGAATATTGATTCTATTTGAATGCTCCTTTCAATACATTAAAGCTTGGGGGCTCCTAAGTAATCTTAGATTGGTTCCAGGTTTGAGAAGACCTTTATCAATGTGTTATAGTTGGGTTGTAATCAAAGGTGACACATGGACTCTGTTAGTTGACAAAGGTTGCTAAAAGCAGACATTGTGAGAGTGGAAAGTGTGCTCTCAAACCAGGAAAGGTGATACAGTTGAGTATTCCACATCTTTCTTCCTTTGCACAGTGTTTCAGTGCAAAGGTATGTGTATGTGTCTTGCTAGTAAGCTTACTGAAAGCTTCATTTACTGTGAATTGTAAAAAGATGATAAAAGGAAGGCAACATCTGGTTTGTTACACTAGAGAGCTGATACGAGATGACAGAAAAAAAGAAATTTTATGCAGAAGGAGATGGAAGTAAACTTAATATTTATTTCTACAAACTTTAATACAAACATTATTTCTAGTAGGCTCCTGTCCTTCATACTCTCATTATTTGCTGATCCTTCTCAACAAATGCTACCCTTTGACACTGCACACATTGTTAAAACTTCTTTTTGATGTTAATTTAAAATTAGTTGCTTTAGCCATTTGTACAGAAAAATTGTGTGATTGCATGGTCATCTAGGATTGGAAGTACCAATCTGCACACAATTTGCAGTAGTGGACTATTGATAGATATAAACTTTGGAGACAAACTGGAAACCTTGGAATTGTTCCAACAGTGTTGCATTCTTTAGGGGAGAACCTTTTCAGCCAGAATCTACGACATCAAAGATGACAACTGAACTCTCCCTGACTGGTATCTCATATGTGAAAAATTACTTAGAATATAAATCCCACCGGCCATGTCTGGGTTATGTTGTTAGTAATTGAAAATCTGTGCCAAAAAGGCCCTCTACTATTTTTATACCAACATTTGTAGGGTTGTTAAAAAGAAGGAGGTGGAGTTCTAATTTCTTTTATTTATTTATTTTTTCAGAAAAAATTAAATCTTCTGATGATTCTGGACCCCACAGTAATGCTATTGGGCCTGTGATTGGAATTATTCTTACCCTTTTTGTCATGGGAGGCATGTATTTTGTTTGCCAGCGTGTGGTTTGCCAACGTTACGCTGGGCCTAATGGACCTTTTCCACATGAATATGTCAGCGGGACCCCACACGTCCCGTTAAATTTCATTGCTCCAGGGAGTTCTCAGCATGGGACCTTTACAGGTAATAGTAACAGTGCCTCTATGTATTGCTATAGTGTTCTTCAGATTTTGTTTTGTTTTTTGCTTTGCCACATGCTAAATAACAACTGGCTGTGGTTATATGATGATCTTCATTATATTGCTCCTGCTGTTGAATCTCCAGCCAAACTCCTATTTTAGAATCTTCGAAAATAGAATGAAGGGCAATATTTTGAAGTGGATTCTTGCTTTTTTGGAATACTAGCGCTCAGAATTTGAGATCTTTTATTATTCTTTTAGCCATATCCTCTGCATGAATAGTGTGCTTTGAATAGGATTGTTTGTAGATCTGATGAAGAACTGTACGTATTATAGATATGTATTGCTTGTGCAAAGATCTTTTAAATTCTAATATTTAAGAAAATATTCAAGTTTGTGTATAGGAAGGAATTCCTGCATTTCAGAATTTAAAAGGATTGCATTTTTTTAAAGTGATAAAACCAAGAAAGATTCTGCAGTCCACCTAGATGTCTTTTACCACAGTAATTGCTTTGGTAAATTTCAGTGAGTATATAATTGAATCCCAGGCTATTCTTATTTCTTTTATCCATATAGGCATCTCTTGTGGAAAATCCATGATTAGCTCCATGAGCTTAATGGGTGGAAGCAGTGGTGCCCCTCTTTATGACAGAAACCACGTCACTGGAGCTTCCTCTAGTAGTTCGTCTAGTACAAAAGCCACATTTTATCCACAGGTAAGTGTTGAAAATTGTATAAGCCATGTTGCAATTATGTTTTCAGTTCCTATTAGCTCTGCTTGCAGAGCACGCTTAGCTAGATAATTGTTGAGGAGGGAGGGGCTGCTATCATGCAAACATGAAATTTGAATCAAACTTAAGGAAGTTAGATTGGGCTCAAAGACCCCCAGTTTCCTCTCAGTTGGCCATGACATGTCAATAGCTGATGGGAGCTGGAGAACAGTTCTCTATTTCTCACACGTACCCAACTTGAACATTTACATCTAAGAAAATGCACCTTTGATGGCACTCCTGGAAAGGACTACGGTAACATTGTGGAGAACTGCTATCCCTGCTTATCCTGGAGTTCCAAGTTATTCCATTGAAATAAATTGCTATAAAATGTATGCTGATTCCTTAATGTAATAATTAGCAGAACATTTATTTATTTATATAACTCTGAATGGTGGCACATTAATAGAATGGTCCTGTTGTTTTAGGAAAACATCTTGATTTGAAACAGATTCTCATAGAATGGTCTTTTAGAATAGATTATTACCCAAAGAAAGTACAGAAGGTCCTCTTCTTCTCAGGCATCTCAAATGATTTCATAGCTCCCATTGGAGATTATTAAACTATTTCATTTTACGTTCACACAGATTTTGAATCCACCACCTTCACCAGCTACAGATCGCTCCCTCTATAACACAGAAATGTTTTATTCTTCAAACATTCCATCAACAACAAGATCTTACAGGTAATGGCTTTCAAAATCATTTGGCAGATTCTTTAACACTTAGTTTTTAAATATCTGTTTCTTATTCTGCTTATATAGCAGCTTTGGATAAAGAATACTTTCTTTTTCTGATAAAACTGCTCCAGTTGTCAGCTTTGTACAGCTGGAGTGGTGGAATCTTTGAACTGGAAAGTAAGGTTTCGTGATTGGGCTTAACATGGACATGCATTTTTAGACTGCTCAGAAAAACACGAGCACCAAAGACCCCAGTATGAGGGGTCCTTGGTGCTCTCTCTACTTGGTTGTTTCATTACTTAAGCTAGGTCATCAGTTCTAGTAAGGCGTGGAGTTTACTGTCATTTTATATTCTAGTGCTGTGATGCCATAGGTGGCACGCAGAGCCATTTGTGCCAGCACACGAGCTGCAAGCAAACTTACCTCACTGCGCATGTGCGTGCCTCATAGCTGATTTTTGGCCAGTTTGAGGCCTTTTTCGGCCTCTCAAAGGCTTGGGGAAGGCTTCTGCAGGCCTCTGCAAGCTTTGTAGGCTGAAAACTAGCCCTATTTAGTCACTTCCAGTATTTTCGGAAAAACAGGAAGTGATGAAACAGAACTAGTTTTCAGCCTTCAAAGCTTGCAGAAGCCTTCCTCAAGCCTTTTGGAGACCAAAAATCAGCTGTGAGGCACAATGCAGGTAAGGTGGGGGGGGATTACACACACATGCGTAGGGGGCGTGGGGGGGGGCACCTTTTGGTTGCTGGCATGTGAGCATGCAAGTGTGCGCACAATTTTTGGCACAGGAGCCCAAAAAGGTTAGCCTCTACTGTTCTAGTGGCTTGCCCTGCCAGTGTGGATGGAGGTCTTGGAGGTTCTTTGGTTGGGCTGTTTACTGTTAGCTTCTTTGGCAGTTTCTTGAATGGGAAATATTGTTTACTTCTTGATTGTTAGTCTGATATTAATGTGGTGTTAATCTATGCTCATTTGGGTGTTGATTGCTGTTAGGGAGGTATTTGGGGGTCATTTTGTTCCCTTTTTGGCACGCTGATGATCTTGCACCCTATGTAGAGGTTGTCTATTGTCTATTGATGGCTAATTGCTGCAGATAAAAAGAAGTGGAAAGTTTTCCAACTTCTGCCCTTTCCCAGCCAGCAGAATTTTTCTACAATGCTACTAATGTGTATTTTGTATTTTAGGCCTTATCTTATCAGAGGGATTGCTCCACCAACTACCCCCTGCAGCACAGATGTATGTGACAGTGACTACACCACAAGCCGGTGGAAAGCCAACAAATACTACATCGACTTAAACTCAGACTCAGATCCCTATCCACCTCCCCCTACTCCTCGCAGCCAGTACATGTCAGCAGAGGAAAGCTGCCCACCGTCTCCAGCTACCGAGCGGAGCTACTTCCACCTCTACCCCCCTCCTCCATCTCCTTGTACAGACTCTTCATGATTTTAACAGAAGGGACTTGTCTTTTTCTGTAAATATGTTTTTTAAATATGAACAAAGATTTTAAATATATATTTTATGATCTAAAATGGGGTGGGAACTTATAAAAATGTGAATAAAAACGAATGGGCCTGGGCTGTGAAAATTGTACAGCAAAGTGATATTTATGTTGATCTTTTTTAATTTAATAATCCATTCTTTTGTGCCATAATTTGCCTTTGCATTGAAGTTGCAACATTTAAATTGGCCTCCAAAGGAGGTGAAAAGCAGAAAATAATATGCTTGGAACATTTTGAAATCATCTTTTGGTTCAATAAAGGGGGAATGTGCTGAGTTATTTTAAGTAATATAAAAGGCAAGAAGTAGTATGTATGAATGAATGATGATGAAATACACACCACAAGGGAAATTCTTGTGTATCTGTGTATGTGTGTCTGTGTGTATGGATTAATACTTGATCCTAGGTACTTAACCACAAAAATGGGCTTCATATGCTTTATTTTATTTTATTCCATCATTCACCTTTCAAAAGAGTCAGTGAATTAAAAAAGTGAACATCTAGAATACATGTTAGATTTATTACATTATTCATCATGAACGACTTCTCCCCAAATTAAAATTTTCATTCACTCCTATTAGATGCATCACATTTCTATTATGAGTCTGTCAAATTCATGTTTTCTCTTCCTCTAAAGGCCTCCAATACAGCTCAGGAGATTTGGAGGTGAGAAGGGAAGAAAGGAGGTGGTGCTCATGATAGAAATGAAAAGTGGAAAAAAAGAATGAATTTGACTTTCTGAAAGATTAAAATAGTTTAGAAAAATGAAATCCTTCAAAGTTTCTTTTTCTCTCACATCTGGTAAAAATTTATGAAAATAAAAATCTATAAAAATTAAAAACAGTTTATAAAGAGTTCACTGAATAGCAAAACTATGTGCAATCTCCAAATTGATGCATTTGGATATTTCTTGAATAGGCGTCTACCGAAGCCCCTGGTTTTCTCATTTTAAAACACAACATACACTGCCACCCCATTTTCCGCTGGGTAAGAATACAAATTTTACCCTCTCTAACTTCCTATATATAATATGAGAGAGAGAGAGAGCTCAGGAATAAGGATCCGCATAATCAGATAGAATTCAGTAAAACATTATTTTATTTAGAACAAAACCCAGAAAGAAAGGTGCTTTTCATCACGGGTCAGGAAGAAGAAAATGAGCAATACATCTTGCATTGCTGACTGTGCTTGTCCTTTGGTTTGATTGCTTCACACAGAATGTTTGAAAGCTTGTAGGATTAGGAGACTGTGATGTGAACAAATAATAAAATACATTGGAAAGAAAGGGGAAAGCCAAAATTACAGTATGTTTTAACAGCTGTATAACAGCAGGTGCAGCCAGCTTTTAACAGTCATAGAATCATTGACAAAGATAAAAAATGCTGTTTTTTTACATTTACAGCTGGATTTTAGCAAGTATTTCTGGCCAAGTGTGAGGTGAGACTCCTCCAATCCCTGGCCACTTTTTCCAAGCTTATTAATAAGATGGAGGTTGATCTCTGTTATTTTGAATATGTTCCCATCAGTCTATTTCTAATTGTTTGGATATGGTGGTTTAATTCTGAGGACGTGCAGTTAGGATCTTTGAGTACAGGAGAATTTTGATTTCTCAAGAAGCTTGTATTTTGTAGTCATGCCATGCCATTTTACTTTTCAAGTTTAATATGGGAGATAAAAAATTGAATTATTTGTATGCAAAAATATCCTACCTGAATACTTTGGGGAGGTCAGAGTTATTTGGGTGCATTGCCTGTGTGTCTAGCACAAAAATAATCCATAATAATGAATCTAGAGTACTCAGCTCAAAAATCACAATATTCCGTACTAATTTTAAATCATAGTAATATACTTTTTTTAAAAAAAACAATCCTTAGTAACTCAAATTGGGTGGGAAGGTAATAAAGCCAGCTTCTTGTAATTCTAAGATTCCATTTCTAGCTTGGTTGCAGATAAAGCTTGTACGTGCATGTGTGCACACATACAAATACATAGTTGCTGAGAGATTTGCATCCACTAATTTGTTTTATAATTGCTTTTAACCTTTTGTCTAGCACTTATAAAAAGATATCCTTTAATTCTTAACATTACATGCTTTGATTTACCATTGCCAGGTTTCTCTTGTCTAAAATGCACTGCACATGCACTGCACAAAATTTGAATGAATAGTTTATGTTTTAAAAGCAAAGTAAACAGCTATTGGTAATATTAACCTGCTTGCTGAAAAAATTGTACTGTATTCAGTGGTGAATTGGATACTTTAAGCTATGAAAAAAATAACTAATGCTACTGATGTGAACAGAGTACTATAATATTTATGGCTAGAATATTGAATATTTTTATTTTGCTTGCTTATTGTAAATTATGTTAATCAGGAAAATTAAATATTCTGCTTTCTTGATTAACATGTTAATGGGGAAACACCCCACCAAATTCACATAAATTATCAAAACTGCACAACTGGAGTTGTTGAAGAATTGAGTGAAGTCAGAAATACCTTACCAAGAAATAATTGTCACATTTTCATTACTTTAAATTATTTATCTCTCTGATCCAGAATTTTTGCTAAAATATCTGATTTCAATAGTACTCTGGGCTATGATATTGTCCATTTCTTTTTTGACACAGGTAGGTCTCAAATTAATCACATAAAAAACTACACTGTGAGCTTGGTTGTTTGTTTGGAGACGATTCATTACCAAGGAGAAAACCACATTCCCACCAACATTGGCAGGGCAAGCTATTGTATATAAACAGAAAGCAAACCCCACACTTAAACTAGCACTGATAATATTATCTAGTCTGATAATGAAACATCTACAAGTAAACAATCATGCTCAGAGAGCACAAAGGACTTCACAATTCAATTAATTTCTGTTGGAAAAAAGATACAGTTTACCAAATCATGAATCTGTGCTGATATTGGTTCTAATTTTAACAAGCTAATTTGAAATGATACCATGCAAACTGTTAATTGTAATTTTGGCTTTCAAGAGCCCTCCTAATCTGGAATCATTGGCCATGTTGCCAGAGAGTTACAAATGATATCAAACTGGGGATGGCTAGCAAACTGACATGCTTTGAATCTTCATTTTTTAAAGCCATTGTTTGCTTAACTGTGACTGAATAAACTACAGTTGCTAGGTTTATGCTAGGCCAGAAATCAAATCATATTATGACTTAGCCCCATAAGTATGAACCCTACCTTTATATTCTAAATACAATACATCTATGTAAATGTAACTGATTGGCTTTATTAAAATTTAAGGAGCAAGTAACTCTTGTTCGGGTCTAGCCACAGTGCAGTGTCAAAGGTTAACTTTCTTATATTGGTTTTCCATTGGTTAATGGCTGTGTGTAGTATGTCACTATTCTAGAGAAATTGTTTTGAATATTTTAACCCTTCAAAAGTGATTGTTAATCTTGTGATATGTTAAGTAGCATATCTCTTCCAGCCAGACTGGGTTTTACTGTGTAGAAAGACATCAGATTGGATGCCTAATCCATGTAACTGTTTGTTTGGGTCCACTTAGATCCATCTTCATGAACATTAATTTTTAGAATCCATAATTCACTGAAAGTAGTTATTGATCTGGACCTGAGAGTGAGCTTGCTCTTAGCAATTAGGACAACTAAGCCTTTTTGAAAGGAAATACTGGTCTTAACATACAACATACCAAAAGTCTTCATCTGAAAAGTATTTAAAGCACCTTTAGTTATGAAGCTCAGTTCCCTGGAAGTTTCCTTTGCCAATTTTAGGTGTGAATGTAAATGAGTGGAGTATTGGATGGAAAGCAGAGTGTGGTGTCAAGTTTAATTTGTAAAATAATATTTGTTGAAAATATTTTGTAAATAATGTAATTGAGCTATTTGCAATTAGAGGGGAAACAATCGATTTTATTAAACAATGAATAAGAACTATTGGGCCTGGATTAAAATGGAGCAAAATTAGTCTTGCCAAGCTACAAACCTGTGACTCCTCCTTTATTTTTGAGCCTACTGAGCTCAGCTAGAGGAAAAGTCAGCTAAAAGCTTTTCCAACTTCTTTTTTTTCCCTCCTCAGGGCCTATTGTATATATACTTTTTGTGTTGTGGAATACATATTTCACTACTCACATTAAATCATAGATTCTTTAATAAACCATAGGTGGCTGATTTTACAGAACATTAAGCTATAAACTATTATTTAACAAATCACAATGGTTCACCCACTGCAATAGATCAAACCCAATCATGTTATGGGTTATTGCAATATGTGAACTTTCCCACAGGATCTTCTTGGTCGTTGCACTAAGAATGGGGGAAGCGGAATAACCAATTATGGAAAAGTGAAGAGGGGCGGAAGAACAGGGGAAGCAGTAGCTGGCTCAACCCCAGTTTGGTGGGAACATGAAAGGGGAGGATCATTGGATGCAACCTGGCAATTTACATTTTTAAGTGGGTTGTGTTTTACTGTTATATACATAACTCAGAGGGCATTCTAATTAGAAATTAAACCCAGGCTGCTTTCTTTATTGTATCTAAGTATTTTGCAGTTGCTGCTAATGTAATGTAAATGTACATGAAAATATGCAGATATTGCCAAGAATTGTTATAATAGACTCATGCTGATCTGTTTTATATTTATATTGTAAAGTGTATTCTGCAAACCTCCTAAATATTTTAGCTTTATATTCATATACCGTTTTGTAGACACAGTTTTGTCACACAGAGAAAAAGTGCCTTTGGTCTTTTTAAACAGCCTAGCATATTGACTTGGGCAGATGATAACAAAGCCTTAAAAATGAAGCAACCTTTTACTCATTTGCTCCATTTGTTAGTTTTTCATCCAGCATGGTGTTGCAAATACGTATTGTGTTCAACTCATTCCAAGATAAGGCATTCACAAGATGGTGGGACTAAGCTTGTTTGTATATGTTAATGAAACATCACTAATTATGTGATTTTACAGAGAGTTGTGCTTGGTTTTTTTTTAAGAAAATATTTCAGAGAAAACTGGGAGTTTTTTACCCAGAAATTACAAAATTGGGAGTTTTAAGACACCCAATGTGCTCCTTTTCATTTCACTGTTTATATTTTATGGATGCTAAATATGCTATTGGTATACATTTTTGTAAAATTATGTAACAAAATCTCTGTTATTAAATTAGATTAATGTACTTTCCTAAGGACTGGAATTCCATTTAATTTTTGCTACAATAATATTGATTAGCACAAGCTTTACCAAAATCATTATTTTGAATATTAATTGGGCAGCTGAAAATAGCCTTTTTTCATATTAATGTCCAATATACGCTACAATATGCAAAAGCCCCTTTGCCAACAATAAAACAGAGCCCAATACTTGTTTGTCTTTTTAATTTTACTGTTGTGAAAAAAGCATATTTTTAATACTCTGGGAATCAAATATCTATAAAATTTTGAGTCATACACTTTAAAAAGAAGACAATTTTGACGTTGCAACCTGTAGTTCCATGTAATCAACACTAGGCTTTTATTTTGGCTTCATTGTAAAATATCTAAACAAATGAGAATGAGGTGTGGGGTTTTAACTTTTAATTTAAATGACTTGCTTTTAGAACTACATTTGAGCAACTTAGATCCATTGCTTTCCAGTTTTATGCTTCTGAAGTTTAGATATAATGAAAGTGTAGGAATATGCTACATAAGCAGAAAGATGTACTGAAATTAAAAATATTTATTCGTTACCTCTGGAAAATATTTTATAGCTTTTACATTCCAGTTATATACATAGAACCTCAGCAATTTGCATTGTGGTGCCCACTCCTTATATGTAACACCTAAGTTTTTGGAATCATCTTCAAATTATGAGGGATATTTGTAACGAATAGTATCCTTTGCTGCAGCTCAGAACTGATCCAGAAAATTCATTCCTTAAATTATTATTTTTTTCCTTTTTTACTTTTAGTTGTGCCTTTGAGTCAGCAGTGACTCTTAGCAATTGCCCGGATGAGTCCCTGCAGTTTTCTTGGCAAAGTTTTTTGGAAGTGGCTTGCTGTTGCCTCCTACCTGGGGCTGAGAGAATGACTGGCTCAAGGTCACCCAGATGGCTTCATGCCTAAAGCAGGATTAGAGCTCACAAGTCTCCTGGTTTCTAATGTGTTGCCTTAAGCACTACGCCAAATTGCCTGCTTTAACTAACACATGGTGCTTAATTTTTCTTTGGTGTAATTCTATACAATTAGAACCACCAAGAAATATTTTTAAATTTTATTGATGAGATTTATATTCCACCTTTACTTGTACAACTCAAGACATACATAATATTCCTTCATACTATCTACAACAGAGGTCTCCAAACTTGGCAACTTTAAGACTTGTGGGCTTCAGTTTCCAGAAATTGAAGTCCACAAGTCTTAAAGTTGCCAAGTTTGGGGACCCCGATATACAACAACAACTCAGGTCCACGGTCAGTCGCCCAGCTTCTGTGCCTGAAGGAAGACTAGCAGTCTTTTTTTTTCACATCAAGCAAATTGAATACAATTTACTGAATATTGAACATTTTAAAATAGTTTTTGAAAGCCTTAAAGCCATTCTCCAGAAAATGTATACATTATTATTACCTTCTGCTACTGGAGAAGATACGTGTTATGCAGCCTTTGAGGCTAAATAGTTCGTGCTCAATGCATTTACAATTGAAAACAGATTCTAGACACTAATTATAAATTGCTAGGATGGGGTTTATGAATAACTAGAATAACTTTTCCGTGTCCAAAGAATTATATGGGAAGTTTTGTGAAAATGAGCAGTGATTCTTAGATAAGTAAATAAAAAATTATTTCCTTCCTGTGTTTTACAGAATGACAACACAAATTCTTCTTACTCCAGGCTGCTGAGTTCTGCTGATTTTAGGCAGTCATCTGTCACTGCTCACAGCTCATTATAAGAGGCCAAATGACAAATAGGAAATGGTTGCTTAATATACTGTATGTATAAAACCACACAGTGGTTTCCATGACTGTAGCTTCAAGGCATTGGATAGAGCCCAACAGATAAGTAATCTAGTTTCTCTCTTGTGGATGACTTTTTACTACCTTTCCTAATCCATCTTATTATTTACCTCCTGGCCATTCTGTTTCATCAACTGAGGTAGTATCTATACTGGGAATGAATGGCAAGTGTAAGTGTGGGCAACCACTTCGTCTTGAATTTGGACTGGCAGAGATGGACAACTTCTGATGGATCAGAGCTGCAGGTGGCCAATTGGCCATGTGGTAATTTAATCAGAAGGGGCATGCGAGAAACAATGTTGGCCGATGGAGGGTGAGTTAAGGGTAGGGGGAAAAAATCAAGAGGTGAGACAAACCTCTTTCATTTACAGAAAAACTTCTGGTCATGAACACTTCTGACCATGACTAAATCGAGTTCCAACCAAAAAATGCACATTTTTTTTCCCCACGGCCTATTTCCCTTTCCGTGTCATTTTTTTTTTTTTTGTATGCGCCAAATTTCCAAAACTAGGTTTGGGTCATGACCAAATCAGGTTGCACCCAAAGTTATGGAACGAATTATAGTCATGAACATAGGTTCTACTGTATATTATTTTAAAAAGAAACAACCCTCCCAGTATGGTCTGATATTTAGAAGGATCACTTGGAGCCTCTGGATTGATGTTTGAAGGACAGAAGGTCCTACCTTTATTTTTGCAAACAAAGAAAAAAAGTGCTATTAAAAACTGGCCATTTTTGCAGCCAAATTCCAGTAATCTGAACAGATTGGACTGCTGTGGATGGGGGGTGAGGGGTCCGATGGGGCAAATACAGGTTCTATTGACTTGATAAAGAAGATTAAAGATTCTGCTTTTAAAAACAGTATTTTGGCTTCTTTCTGTCAGGAAAGGGATGGTTTGCCAAGCCAGTACTTTCTATGGCCATCCAAATTCAAGATTCATCATTTTGCTATGCTCTATTTGTTCCAATTACAGGAATGGCTGTACTTGATTAGCCAATAGGTTATTTTAAAAGTCAAAAGTTTTCTGAAAATGAATGTACCCTTAAAACTCTCTCAGCCCCTTTGCAAATTTTGGTTGTTGCTTTTTTTCACCTCTCATGTTAAGCTAGGCTATTGGTTGGATATGTTTTGCTTGCAGGTTGTAGCTCTTTTCGGTGCCATTTTATGGTATCTGGAAATCATTTTACTTGAGCGTGCCTTTTATCAGGAAACCTGCCAGTGTCTGTTCTGACCGTTGCCTGCAGACAGCCAAACTCTTTGGAACTTCCTGTTCTGCCTCGATCCAAGCATCCATTTTGGGTTTATCCTGTTCTTCCCAGGAAAAACAACTACTGAAGAAAAAAAACTTCAGATCATCTGCAGCTCCTTCAGAGACCACGCTGTGTATACATGGCAGTGAAAAACTTATGATAGCGCTTTCTAATGAAAGCCATCTGAATTGTGATGTACAGCTAATCATTTGCTTTAATTTGCCAGCTGTTCTGCTGCCACCCTGATGTATTCATTAAATGTAGCTCCCATCACCCATATCTAAGATGGTCCTGGGACAGTTTGGCTGGAAAGGTAGGCCAACCCATAGGGAAAGTGTCATGCTGCAAAACCCCACTGAAGGTTTTGTGCAATTAGATTTACCTTCTTTTTTACAAAAAAGATTTTTAGTTCCTTAAGATAGAGGGCTCCCATACATCTGTAATTTTCTTCTGCTGGGAAATGACATCTTTCTGCTGCACAAGCCACAGCATTTTGCTCTATTGCTCCCTGCCCCACAAAGATTTTCACTGCATTCTGTTTTGTGGGTTGTTATTGATATACACATATTACATGCTTCTAGCGTTGTTGAGGATTCTTGTATCTACAGAAACTCTTTTCGGTTTTTTATTTGTGTTCAAATGCTTAATTATGGGTGCTTTGGAGATGGAATTCTCTGCACAGTTTATTTGTGAAGGGTCTACTCTTTTTAAGCACTCAAGCAGTACTTAACATATCCACCCAGTACCCTGTTTTTCAAAAGTTGCAGTTTTCCAAAAAAGATGAACACTGTATGTGTCTGTCACAACATAGAATATCACAGTTCCATAAAATGCTGTGTATTTGTAGAAAGGCTGCACACACATTCATACACAAAAGTGCTTCGGGGATCTGTTTTACATGAAAGTTTTCAATAAGGTCTCAGATTATAGCCATAAATTATAAAAAAATATATGTGGCAACAGAATCTGGAATAGAACCTAACATTACATAGTTTAAGATAAGTTAGCTTTCATCAAAACTAAACTGTGAGAACAATTTGTTGAACAGAACGAATTTAATGAGATATTTCTGGTTAATGCATGTGACATTTGGATCCTAATTCATATCCTACAAAAATATTCATTTCCTCAGCACAGTGTGAACTGAAATTTGGAAAATAACTTTGGAGAATAATTTTATTCTCCCTTGGAGAATAAGCTGGCTATAAGCAAATAAATTTGTCTTCTTTCTGCCTCATTTAAACAAATAGGTGTCTTATTTTTATAACAGTAAATTTTCCTGTTTGTGACATCCAAATTCCATTACAAGAAAACTTTTTACTTCTGAAATCTGAAATAAAGCCAACATAACAGTAACTAAATACAGCTATGTAGAATCCTAAACTACAAGCTTAAAAGCAATTGCAGATATGAAATTAAATTATTTTAATTTTCAAATATCCCCTAAAAGATTAAATACATTTGGTTTAACCTCCTAATTTTACAGAAAAAGTCCAAAATGCTATTTACAGGCCCATACAGTGCATAAAATTAGTCTCTACTGATTGAAAACAAAGCCTTAGAACAGGGTGATCAGCATAAAATTGACAGACAAGAAAAAAAGGCTTCAGTTTAGCTAGGTTGATTGCAGTAGTCACTCTTTTTTGGCAGACTGGCAACCATCTATCATCTTGAGAGGCTCAGAATTCAAGTTCACATTTTTGTGAGATTTGTTTTTCCAGACTCAGGTGTTCTTCCAATTTGTGAAATGATTGAAGCCAGACTTTTTATAAAGCAAATAAGAAGTCAGTAGGTATTCTCCTGTTTCCTAAATGTGGAGTGTCAGTTTCTTTTGATGAATTAACCAGGCATAAATAACAAGAGGCCACTGTAGCCTATTCCTGGATTCTGTATTTAGACAAGTGTTTATTGTAGAAACATATTCTCCATGCTTTCCATAAGTCCAAGCCACAGATTCTTTCATTGGGCAGATGTCTAGTACACATCAATAACAATTTGGTATGGTTGAGTATGGGAACAAGAAGGTTCATCATTTGCAGGCTACATTCATCTAAATGAAATTTCTTTCTTTCAGGCCTGTCAAACTGGCGGCCCATGGGCCGGATACCTCACTTGCAGGCTGTG